GTGTTATGATCTTGACTTAGGTAGCCATAGGGTAAAGCACTCTATCGAGGAGACACTTGCTGAAACAACAGGCAACCTTTTGAGAACAAAAATGCTATGCAGATGTTATTGTATGTGAGAGCCATATCGTGTCTAGCTGACCATCCAAGCATTGAATAACATTGCCTGTAATTGCTGCATTTAACACACACACACATTTATAAATTATGCTGTATGCATTGTTCCTAAGAACTTCTGGAGACAATGTAATGCTTTTCTTGCAGAATGGAGCAACACAATATAATTTGTATAGTTGCTGCCATATCAATGTTAGTGCTTTGCTATAATAATTGCAGGTCAGTTAGGCTAAAATTTGGGTAATAGAATGGGGAAGAAAACTCAGCAATGTGTTCTGAGAGCAAGTCAGATGACGACTTTTTCCTAGAAGAAATCAGATTAGCAGCATGAAGAGCTAGAATATCAGATTTAGGAGTGAAGTAATTGTCATTATGTGTGGTTTGGAAGGCTATCTAGCTATTTCTCTCATTTGCAATTTGCAAGCGAGCTGCTTGATGCTCCCTGTGTGTTGAAAGTTTCATTCTCCTCTTCCTTGTGCCTTAAAGATGCAAGCATTTTGTTCTGTAAACTGCAGGAATAGGTAGCATAAAGAATGAAGTTTTCAACTACTGGAATTAAATCATTGCTTGAAGTCAAACAAGCATGCCACATCTTGGAGTCCCTTTTATCAAAGCAGGTCAGTTAACTTCAATGAAGTCATCTTCAATTTGCTTTGATGTAACATCAGAACCCAGCCCAGATGATTCTAAACGATCAGCAAATAAATTTCCACGTTGCAGTCTTTCAAGGACATAGGCTTAATGAAGTATCTAGTTTTCTGGATTCTTTAGCTTCTGAAGTGCCTAATTTGACTCCCTTTTAATAAGGCTTGTTTGCACTTCGGGGGCTGGGGAGGAACTGCTGACTTTTCCTGGCAACTGAGCCCTGTTTAAATGCCACATGTAAGATGAGTAAAACGGTGGCATGCAGCATCTCTATTTTCCATTAGTGTTGTAAATCTAAGACTGTGTTATGCAGGAAGATGAGGCTTCTGTGGTTTTCCTTTTGGGAGAGGAGAGATTTGGAGTCTCAGACATGTCATTTCTGTAATTACTTGAGTAAGGACTAGTTGTCAGGCCAGGGATGGCAACCTTAGACACTTCTCTTCTAAGGGAAGTAATGTTAAACACTAAAGCTAGTCAAATTGCCAAATGTCCTCTCATCCTAAAGTGGAGCAAAAGGGAGAAACATTATAATTTCCCTCAAAATGAAGCTCCCTAAAATACTTTCAGAAATATTTAGAAATATTTAATGTCTTAAAGTGTTTCTTTTCATAAGGTCAGAGGAGTTCTGTTATTTGAAATCAGTAACTAACACAGCTCTTGAAGAGTTAGTCATGTTTCAGCACAAACCATGCCTGTCTGTTCCTTTGCTCTTCAGGCAGAAAATTGTTTTATTAGAGGAGTCACAGCCCTTAAATACTCAAAATATCATGATACCCATTTTTTGCTTACAGCTTCCTCCTTTGCACAACCCAGTTGGAGACAAGATTATATCAATTCCAAATTGTAAGCCTCCCTTGTGCTAGTTTCTCTCTGTCCCTGCAGAATGCAGAAATATAATACCAGCTACAGGTTGATCACTAACATTACCCTAGTTAATTTATGATGATTGCTGAAATCAACAATGGGAGGTTCTCAGAAATTTTCAAACCATTTTTACTGGAAGAAAGATTCATAAGGTACATTTCTACAGAGAAATGTGAGCAATAAAAAAAAAGAATAGTTTGGAATGCATGAAGTAAGTCTGTTCAGTTTTCAGGGGGAAAATACTGATTTTTCAAGATATCATATTGAGTTAACATCAATCATTCAGAGTAGGAGCTCTTGGTGTGTTTATGCATTAATGGCAAACTGTAGGTATCATAATATTTATAATAATTAAAACAGAGCCTGTCAGGACTCTGCACCAGAGGATTACAACCAGTATCATAAGTCCTGGCCATATTCAGCATGCTCAGTTGTGGCTCCTAGTAAGCAGTGATTCAACGCAGTGCTGTGATTTGGATTGGTCTCTGAGTGAACTGCTGCCAGTGTATTTAGCAGCAAACTGTGACTCATGAGCTAGCGCTCATGGTCAGAGGTCTGGCTCAACTCTGTTTCTCCTGAGAAAGGAGAAATCAGGCTTTCAGGTGGGCTACGGTCAGTCTAAGATCACAAGACTCTTACCCCCCTCTGCTTTTGCACAGAGGAGGAGCGTGGCTGAGCCAAGTATGCAAAGACTTTCCAAATGCTTTTGCAAATACCTCAAGACAATTCCCTCATTTCAAGAGTAGCGTAGTGCAATTAATTAAAATTATATAGATATCTGACATAATCATCATAAACTTTGTAAACTTTTAGCTTTTTTTTTTTTTTTTTTTGATCTTCTGCATTAGGTCCAAAATGTCTGAATTTTAGTGGTTTATGTTGTTAATTCTGTGTGATTTATTTTATTTTATTTTTTTTTGCCAAAAGGGTGATGAGTCAGCATAGTTGCTGTGCTGGGACTCTACCCAGTCCCTCTGAACTGATATCTTGCATTCTTCTTGTTCATTTTGTGACTGTATACAAACAGTTTCCTGCTTATCTTTTGGGTTAGCTCTGTGCATTACTGGGGTAAAATGTGGTTGGGAGAGGAAGGCAGCCTACGTGGGCTGGGAGGAAGAGTAGTCACTAAACAGTGGGAGGGCTCTGTTTTGCATTACCAAACACTGGGGGATGAGTTATCAAAGGTGGTCCGAGATCACAGTTTGGCACTGAGACTGACTGAAGAGTAGAGCTGTCTACTGATGCGACAATCCCTTGCCTTGAGTGTACCTCTCATTTTTACTGGCATTTTGTTTCACTTACAGCTTTGAAGAAGTTAATTGGTGACTAAACATCAGCAGCTCAATCCCAGTGGCTTGGTCTGCTCTCTTTGTGTGTCCCAGCAAAACTAAACCTTGTAACAAGATTCTGTTATAAAGCTTCATCTTTCCACTTTCCTGTCACGCCTGGGTAGCCTATGGGGTTTCTGCTCATCATGTTCTGCTTGATCTCACTTGCTAGTGACACCTGGAGCTCACCTCCCACACACCCCTGTAATGAGACCATGGCTGCATGAGCTCCTTGTTTTCCTTTCTTTTCAACAATTCACTAGGCTTGAATGCTTACAGCTGTCTGAATTTTTCAAAAGCTTGGCCATGGCAAGGATAGTTTTCTGTAGGGCTCCCTTTTTTTCCTTCTTCCCTCCTTTCTTGTCCTGCTAAGACTCATGATTCACTCTGAGACAGTTGAGCATTTCAGTGTATGGTGATGTGAAACACAAAGAAGGCATCAAAGGCACCGATACAAGATGTCCCAGCTTGGGATCACTGCAGTATGATGTATGTATGTTAATAGGGAATGCCTGAAATTCAGTACCAAATTTCCTAAGTACTGCAGGTATTTGGTCCTTTTATGTTAAGGCAGACTCTTTTTAGTATTTCATTTAACCCTAGCGTTAAATGAAATGCTTTTCTCATAAGCATCTAAAATAGAAAATGCTAACTTTACACTCTCAAACCACTAATGAGCCACTGTTCTTCTGTTCTGTCCTTCTGTGGTTAAGCAGGGATGATGATGGGGCTTTAACAAGTGAGGACAGTGTTAGCAATGAGATGCAAGATAAATTCCTGTGTGAGAGACTAAATTGTCACAGACCTTATTGTGACTTGGAGGAGCCATTTTCAGCTTTGTGCCGTCTTGTTTGTCTGTTGCTAGCAAATGTTGACAGTTTTTCTTTTCTCTGCCCTTCTCTCCCCAATTTAATTATTTATTTGAAACATTAATGTATTCATTTTGAAAAATTCTTAATTTGGAAAATGGTGAGCAGGTCAAACTCTAATTGTTTTGTTCTGCATTGCAAATGATTTGGAGGATATTTACACATTTCAGTATGGTATCCCGAAGACTATTATAAATAACTTTTTAGCTTATAATGACTTGTTGATAGTCAGCCTTTTGGAAAGAAAAGCATTGACATTAAACATAGGGTATTTGAGGAACTTATTTTTCAGAATTCAGCACCAAATTAAATGCCTGTTGCCATGGAATATGTTGTTGGCAATGTGATCGTATGGACATTTTTAATGTCTGTTTCATTTTGTTTTAAATGTATTTTTGAGTTGAGCAGTAATATACTAGTGAATAAAACCTATCAGATCAGTTGTTGACTGGCTAATGTTTTAGCACTGAGCATTGCCGGGTTAATTGTTTTAGCTCAAGTGTGTCCAAACTTTCTGATCCCATAAACTTTATAGAGCCAAGTATCTTACACAGTATACATTTTCCACTTGGCATAGATCTGAAGGACAGAAAAAATCTGGAGCAATTCCAATTTCTCCCCATATCCCTTTTCCATCTCTCCTAAGTATGTGAACTTCTGCTGGACTTCATAAGTGATGTAGTTTGTGTAATATTCAGTGGTGGTAACTGTCATTTAAACACACTCAGCAGGGAGGGTGCCTAACCCACAGAACAGGCCAATATGGGAAGTCCTAAGTTTGGTAATGGTTACCTAAGACCTCTTAATATGAATGTGTTCTGATTTTGTATGTTTCAAATGCAGATATAATGAGATGAAATCAAGGATAATTAGGCATTTTGAAATGTTTGGAAACAAGATTCCTCTTTCCACGGAATTATGCAGGAAAAAAGGGAAATTGTGAAAGCTGATAATTACTTCTTTATAGTTAGTTCATTTGTAATTATGCAGTGATAATGCAAGACGTATTGATATGGGGTTTGGTTTGAAAAGCTGAGGATAATTTCCACAGAGTCATGAGGGTTTCAGATCTGGGTTTTATGGGAGTTCAGATCTTGTTTTCTGAAAACTTCTGAGGTGACAGAAGAGGTTAGATCCGTTTCCTTCATGTTATCATTCAATTTTTTTCTTCCATTTAGGCCTCGCAAAGCCCATGGGATTAGTTGAAGGTCCAGGAGGCTTGGGCCAAGGAGGAATGGCTGCTACCCTGAGAGATGATAGCCATGAATCAGAGACTAAATATGAAGAATATGGCTACAATGCCCAACTCAGTGACAGGATATCTCTGGACAGGTCCATCCCTGACTACAGACCAAAAAAGTAAGTTGAATTCCACATTATTATTACAGCAAGTGATTGTTGTTCTCTGGACCATTGATGCCAATTATTTTCTCTACATCCCTTCCTGGTTAGCCTGACAACATTCAGTCATAGAACCACTTGGGTTGGAAAAGCCCTCCAAGATCATCTGATCCAACTGTCCCCCAACCACCAATGTTACCCACTAAACCATGTCCCTAAGTACCACATCCAACCTTTTCTTAAAGACCCCCAGGGACAGTGACTCTAGTTTAGTGAAAATTAAAAAGACCAACTGCCATCTTGAGCATGAAGTGCTGCATCAAATGCATAGCTAATTCTGTGAGTAATGCATTAATACACACGTTCAAGGCCTCAGATCAAAAATTACTTGGGAATATTGATATTCGTTGGGTTTGGTTCACTTGGAAAAGGCCAGGTAAGCCAGCTGAGCCCACCATCAGAGCTGGCAGCCTTAGCCTGCTTCTTGGAGTCAGGTGCCATGGAAGGTGGGGCAGTGATAACAGATACTTTGTAGACACTTAAAACAAATAAGAACAATCCCTACCAAATCTGCCTTTTCTTTAGTTGCACTTCATGTTCTTAGATTTGCTTAGTTAGAGTCTGCTGTATGAAACATAAAGTGTAATTCATTGGGGTTCTGTAATTGCAATTAGATTTTTTTGTCTTTGGAATGTGTGTATACTTTTATTCTAGTGTTACAGAATTCACATGCCTGGGTTATGTTTGACAATGGAATTGTATGTTTAAGATTTGTACTGATTTATTGTGTTTTCTATAAAATGCCTTTCAAATCTTCTGTTTATGGAGTTACCCATCTTCCAGATGAGACATCCTCTCTGTCATCCTGTGAATGACAATCAGTAATGTCTTAATGCAGAGGAGATCAGCAGCAATGCCTAGTTACTCTCAGGAGACAGAATTGAAAAGAATACTTAATTAATTTCTAATAATAATCTTCAGTTTTAAAAAACCCACTGGGGCTCCTAGACACAACTGAAAGTTAAATAAAAAAAAATATCTTATTAAGTGGAGAGAAAAGTTTAGCCAAGCAAAACAGCTGTGCTCTGTGAGTAGATTGCAATTGAATTAGGATTTTAGGCAGTTCAAGCTGCCAAAAACAAAATCCAGCAAAACAAAACTTCAGCTTAACCACAAATTTCATTAGCCGTGTTACATATTAATCTAATCTCAGAAGTATTGACTCAGCATTTGTTTTCTCAGATGCTTGTTATACAAAAGAAAACCTAGATTAAAGAGGTGGCAAAGAAAAATAAAAGATACTGCCTATATGTCACATTTGTGTCAATGTATCATAAAAATCTGCCATGAAATAATCCTGGGAAAAAGGTAGTCTGTGGTTATCATGCAAATATTTGAGCTGCACATCAGAGCTGGTTCAAAGTCCCTTAAAATCAGTGTGAAATTTTTCAAGTGAACTTCAGCGAGGTTTGACCTGGCCTGTTGTTAGCTGCTGCAGTCAGGTGGATAAGAAATAAGAATGCTCTACCAGGAAATAGAAAATCAAAGGTTGCAAAGCTTGAATCTAGTTCAGCAGCTCTGGGAAGGATGAGAGCGTTTACAATGCAGTGATATTTCACTTCAGGTTATACTCTTCCACAGTTCTACCTGGAAGCTTTGATGATTCATTCAGAGAAGCTGTTTGACATGCTCGTTTTGGTAATCTTGTCAGGCCATGCTGCATGAGTAGCTGTCTGAGGTACTGGGAGAACGGCCTTCCCTGTGGTGTTTAATGCTCTTGAGATGGTTCTAGTGAGACCTCGGTGCTGGAATTGAGTCTAGATACGTACGAGTTACAAGAAAACCCTTCCGATTAAAATTCCTTTGAAAAATAAGTGAAAGCTTGGGGAAGGCAGAAGCTCTTATTATATGAAGAGTTTTACCCACTTGTACCAGAGAAGATTCAGCTGTCATTCGGTTGCCATATTCTATTAGAAATTTCTGCTATCTTTCTCATGAGCAGCATTTTTATTTTTTTTTGTCTCTGACACCTACAGATGCACACATAGTCAAATCCAGGCTCTCTCGGGAGCTTTCTCTCATGTTGAGAGGCAGTTTTCACTCCCTACTTATGGCACATATTTGCATGCCAGAGGCCAGAACAGTCAACCTCTTCTTATTCACTGTGTAGTACAATGTCTGAATGCTTACTTAACAGGTGATAAGTGTGCATTGTAGCCACAAGGCAATGCTGAGTTTGACTTTCTGTGCGGTTTAGATATTCTGCTCTAATTCTGTACTGCAGACAACGAAATCACCAGATCTTTGAGATAAGCTTCAGGAAATAGCTATGGGAAAATCACTCTTTGTTTGACTTTGTATGCAGCCCTTCTCAGTCTGCTTGTCATTTATATTTATGTTATTCCCTCTATATTCCATTTTTAAAAAGGAAGGACTTTTTCATTTTTAAGTTGAGAAGCAGGGTGGAATTAATGCCCAACAATGCATGAAGTCCATGGCCAGTCTGTGAGAAAACCAGAAAAAAAAAAAATCACCTGGATTACTTAGACATGATTTATGAAAGTAAACATGATTTTTCTATACAAATATGGGACTTGTAATATACTATGCTTAGTCTTCTTTTAGAAGAAATTTGATCAGAAATATTATCTTTTGGTTCATTTTGTCTTTGAACTCTTTGTTTATTTTTGAACCATCTTTGTCCAGTATAATCTTCTGGTAGAATAAGCATTTTCTCCCATCCTCTAGCATATCTTCAGTAAACACACAGCAGTATAATTGCTTTTCAGGAGGTATTTTCATCCCCACACAGCAAATTAAAAATAATAATAATGATGTTGCACTAAAGAGGTGCACAGTCAGGCAGCGTGACCAAGAAGGCTCCTAAATTGGAATCACCTCCGTGTCCTTCCACTGCAGTAAAATTGCAAGCCTGGGTGGAGAGTCAGGATGCTCTCAGGATGCTTTTCCCATGCACTCACATCGTGCTCTGCCTTCCTACCTGCTGCCAGTGCAGATAATGCTTGGAGCTCAGAGCCTTTTCTTCAAGATAGGAATCGCTCCGTCAGTGCAGGGGACAACAGCAGATTTTGTGCATGTTGTGTTTGTGTGCCAAATCAGAGCAATGACAGTAAATAGCTTGCTTGTGATTACAATTCACACGATAATTACAAAATTATAGTTTGATCCTAACATGGTGTAATAAATGTCTCAGCTTTTTCTTCTCCAATATTGCACCTCCCACAGTTTGAATGCTTGCCCTGTCTCTCTACAGAATGCAGACAACCCTGGGGAAAACAGTTCAAAAACATACCGTGAGTTGATATTTCAAGCTATGTTTAGTTTCAAGAGACATGTAATATAGAGCTGTTGCAATTTTGTTTTATAAAACAATGCAAAGCCTCCCAACACCTCGTGAGTTTATTCAATGTGACCTTGAACAGTATTTTTCATCTCACGTTGGATTTCACTAAATCCAATGTGCTGATTTTAAAGTTGTGCTGATGATCTTAGCATATTTTTTTAATTCTTAAAAGTGACTTTTTGCCTTGAAGCAGCTGAGTACTGTGCAGCTGAGTGCTCTGGGAAGATGCAGGGGCCAAGTAGCAGGAATGAAATGTGTTTGAGTTCAACGTGGAGCAGAATACTCAGGATTTGTTATGCTTGATGGATGAATATGTACAAATGTTCCGCTAATAATTGTAGTATTGGAGTGACCTGAGATTCTGTTTCATTTACTCAGAGAAAAGGGGTCGATATCTTGTTGGTATGTTAAAATACATGAAAATAACTGTAAAATAGTGGTCTAGTTAGTACTTTTATTAACTATACAAATTCCAGGGTAAAGTCTTTTGGCATTAAGGTAGATTTCATAAGTACTTCTATAAAAAAGACTTTTGCAGGATTATTTTTGTTACAAGGAAACTCATAATGCTTGTGATGGGATTATTTTCATCCTGTGCCATATAGGCACATACCAAGCTTGAAAAAAAATTCTCAGGTTAAAGAAATGTCAAAAGAAGGTAGGGGACAAGGAAAGTAGTAAAGGTCTCTGCATTTCCCTGCTGCAGCCCCATTTTTCCTCCCCATCTGCTAAATTTTTTCAAGGGCTATGCCACCATGGAAAATACGTTGTGAATAGCTCAGTGTGTTTAACATCCTTTCTAGCCCTCACTAACATACCCTATTTCCTCTGCGAGGTGGAAGAGAAGCCTCTCTTGTAAGGAACAGGTTATTTTTCCCCTGGAAACACATGGCTAAGCTAGGGCTTGCTCTGTGATTCTCTGGGTTATTTAATGGTCAAATGTCATTTTATTCAATTCCATTTATGTTCGTCCATATTCAGAATGAGGGTTGTGATGACATGAACCTGAGTAATAAGGACAGATGAAGTTAGTATTGTCCAGTGGCCCTTCTGTATATGCAAAGGGAAGCATAAGCACATCTGTCTGTATCAGTTGACTCTACTGGTGTGTATTAGATGTAGAACGGCCTCGAATTCTTCCATGGACATGCTGTGAAATGTGCTAGGCTGCATGCATGTTCTTCTTACCATAATGTCAAAGGGACAGTGTTTGAATAGTCAAAGATAGGCCTGGAGCAACACAGCCAAAATTGACAGACATCTCACACTTGGCAGTAGAATTGCTCAGTCAGCCACCTAAATCCCTGCTTGGTTGTCTGACTTCAAGTGACTTAATTTGTTAGGGGTACTGAGAGCAAAGAGATAGAGTAGGGTTAGCTGGGGCATGCTGGTTTGGTGCAACAGGTTCAAGGAATAGATGCAGCCATCCTTTTGCATATAAAACCCTACAGAATTTCATTCAAAGTCCAGGGGAAAGGCCCCCAAAATTTCCAACACTCTTTACTTTGCAATGTGGCACCCTGGAAAATTGGGAAGTGTCAGATAATCAGATGTTTCAGATGTAACCATCTTCTCTCACGTTAACATCAATTCCCCTGTTCTTTATGGTGCATGGGCTGGATTGCAAGAGGTTGAATTAAGCAGGTTGAACACC